TTTCTGAGTGTCAAACATGTGGTAGGCATCATTGATACTGCTATAGCCTTGTAGTTCATGCTGTAGCCCTGTGCTCTAGTTGAGAGAGAGAAGACAGATATAGGTAAAATCACTGAGCAAGGAAATACTATGCATTTATCAAAATTCATTGCAACAGTATATGCAATTGTAAACTTATCTCCAAGATATACTATTAAACATCAACTGCAAGATTCCAGACAGTGTTACAGTAAGCTTTTTTTGTGCTCCATTTTTATGACTCCTGTTTTCAAGATAATGCATGTGAGGCAGTCATGTTCAGTAATTAGCTCAAGGCACAGAGCTAGAAATGGCAAGCTCAACTGTAGACAGCCTGGTTCTAGAGTTGATGTTTTTAACACTATGCCATACTGCTACTCAGGAACAAATAAGAAAGAGTTGATGGTGGCTTCCATTGGAGTGTGTGATACTCCTTTTTCATTGTATGTGCCTTTGTACTATTTGAATAGGGTGCCTTAAGCAGATATCATTTAAAAAAAAAAAGAAGCACTTTAAAAAAATCAGCTTGTCCGAAACTGAATTAATTCTGCCCACTACTCTTCTGAAGCTGGTGAGAGGCTAAGTCATTTTCTAAAGTGAAAAATCTGGTAGATACTCTAGACTCTTCTCTTCTATACCTCTCACATCTGTCTGATCACATACCCAAACTGACTGGGTTCCACCTTCTAGACTAGACAATTCCAGGCCTTCCCCTACATTATATCCCTGAATCATAGATCACTTGGACTATAGTATTCATTTCCTAACTGATCCACCTGCCTCTTTTCTCACCACAAAATGCCAACAGATGCATCTTTTCAAAGTGCAAGTCTGATCCTGTCATTCTCCAGGTTGTGCTCTAGCCTGCCTCTCTAGCCTTACCTCCTAGCTTCAGGACACCATTTCCCCCTCACATTCCCGATTTTCCCATGCTATTCTTTCTTCAGTAGTACCTTTCATGTAGATTAATCCCCACCCTTCCTTTAAGACCAGACCTCAAGCATGACCTCCTTTATGTAAATATCTCTGGCTGTAGACTATTAGTAACCAAACCAATGCCTGCAATGCCAGCATCCCACAAGGGCACCAGTTTCAATACTGGTTGCCCAACTCCTGATCCAGCTCTCTGCTAACGGCCTGGGAAAGCAGCAGAGGATGGCCCGAGTCTTGGACCACTGCCACCCATGTGGAAGACCCAGAGGAATTTCCTGGCTCCTGGGTTCTGCTTGGCCCAGCCCTGGCCCTTGAGGCCATCTTGAGGAGTGAACCAGTGAGTGAAAGATCTCTCTGTCTCTCCTTCTCTTTCTGTAACTCCTTCAAATAAATAACTAAATAAATAATATTTTTTTAAAAAGATGTAAGTAATATACAGTAAGAGCAAAGTCTTTGGAAAACTAGTTAGTCATTTGCAGAAGAATGAATTTGGACACTTACCTCACATCCTATATAAAAATCAACCCAAAATGGGTTAAAGACTTTGACATAAGACTACTAGAAGAAAATAGAGTGAAAAGTTCTTGACATTGGGCTTGGCAAGATTTTTTGGATCAGATCCTCAAAGCACAGGCAACAAAAACAAAAATAGACAAATAGGACTTCATCCAACTAAAAAAGCTTTTGCACAGCAAAGGAAACAATCAACAGAGTAAAAAGACAACCGTTGAATAGGAGAAAATATTTGCAAACCATGCATGTGATAAGGAATTAATATCTAAAATATTTAAGGACATGAAATAACCCAATTAAAAAATAGATAAAGCACCTGCATAGAAATTTCCCAAAGACAACATGCAAATGACTAACATGAATCTCTCTCTCTCTCTCTCTGTCTCTTTCTCTCTCTCTCCCCTCCGTTTACCTTTCAAGTAAATAAAAATATTTTTTTAGAAAGGAATCATATACTTAGGAGTGAACGAAAGGAAAGATATGTTACAATTATGCACAAGAACACTATGTAATGTAAATAGTATGTAAATAGATAGCATGAAACTGCTTGAGAAAGACTTGCATCTCTAACTTCTCTGAGGGAACCGAACAAAATACAAGAACTGAACACATGACAACTGACCCAGAACATAAGCACTATAATTGTAGAAGTCTCCACTTCAGACATTGCCTGCAAAAGATATTTGGTTGTGGATATGGGACTGAAAATGGTCCAACCAAAATGTATTTATGTAAGTATGAAAAGTGTGATAGACTTTATCTGTTCTGTAATTGCTGGCATAAATATTCTGAAGGGATCCACATAATTCCTGTAATTACAAACGACTGTTCATGATGTGCCCAAACACAGATTTTTTTCCAATATTAGAGAGCTAATTAATAAGTAACAGTTCTTAAGTGATAAAAAAAATCAACATCACTAATCATTGGGGAAATGTAAATCAAAACTACAATGAGATACCAGCTCACACTTGTTAGAATGATTGCTATCAGAAAGACAAAAGATAAGCTTTGGTGAAGTTGTAGAGAAAAGGAAACCATTGTGCACCATTTGTGGAAATATAAATTTAGCATAATAATTATGGAAAATAATATAAATATACCCCTCAATTAAAAACAGAACTACCCCTTGATTCAGCAATTCCACTTTGGAGTCTATAAGAGTCCTTCAAAATCTGTGTCAAAAGATGGAATTAAAAGATGTACAATTTGGGACATGCTCAATCGGACTTACCCCAAATGGTGGAGTTAGAAACGTGCCAGGGGATTCCAGTACAATCCCATCAAGGTGGCATGTACCAATGCCATCTCACTAGTCCAAGTGATCAATTTCTGTTCACAATTGATCACACTGATAGGTCTAAGAGTCAAAGGGATCACACAAACAAGACCAGTGTCTGCTAATACTAACTGATAGAATCAAAAAGGGAGAGGACGATCCATCATGGGAAGCGGGATACACAGCAGACTCATAGAATGGCAGATGTCCTAAATAGCACCCTGGCCTCAGAATCAGCCCTTAAGGCATTCGGATATGGCTGAAGAGCCCATGAGAGTAATTTAGGCATGGAAAGCCAAGACACTCTGGGGAAAAAAAAAAGAAGAAGACCTAAATGAAAGATCTCTGCGAGTGAGATCCCAGTGGAAAGAATGGGGCCATCAAAGAAGGAGGTACCTTTCTCTGAAGGGAGGAGAGAACTTCCACTTTGACTATGACCCTGTCAGAATAAGATCGAAGTCGGCGAACTCAAAAGGCTTCCATAGCCTTGGCAACTCATGACTAGAGCCTAGGGAGATTACTGACGCCATAAACAAGAGTGTCAAATTGTTACGTCAACAACAGGAGTCACTGTGTACTTACTTCTCATGTGGGATCTGTCCTTAATGTGTTGTCCAATGTGAAGTAATGCTATAACTAGTACTGAAACAGTATTTTACACTTTGTGTTTCTGTGTGGGTGCAAACTGATGAAATCTTTACTTAATATATACTAAATCAATCTTCTGTATATAAAGAGAATTGAAAATGAATCTTGATGTGAATGGAATGGGAGAGGGAGCGGAAGATGGGAGGAGTGCAAGTGGGAGGGAAATTATGGGGGGGAGCCATTGTAATCCATAAACTGTACTTTTGAAATTTGTATTTACTAAATAAATTTAAAATATATATAAAAAAGATTTACTTTGGTGTAAAAATTTTTGAAATCCTTGCAAATTTTTTTTAAAATAATATGCATTTCTCATGAACTTTTGAAGACCTCTTGTATATATCCAAGGCAAATGAAATAAGTATGTCAAAAAGATGTCTGCACTCCCATGTTCATTGTAACATAAGTCACAATAGATAAAAAGTAGAAAGAACTTAAGTGTCCATCAACAGATGAATGGATAAGGAAAATGTGGTATATATACACAAGGGAATACTTTTCAGCCATTAAACATAGGAAATTCTGTCATTTGCAACAAATGAAATCTTAAAAAAATGAGCAGAGTAGAATGATGGTTACCAGGGGTTAGGGGGGGCAATTGAGAAGATGTAGAGAAAAGGATGCAAAGTTTAAGTTCTGCAGAATGAATATGTCCTGGAGATCTAATGTACAGCATGGTGACCACAGTTAATAATAATATATTATATATTTGAAATTGCTAAATGTGTAGATCTTAAATGTTCTCACCATGAAAATATATAAGCATTCATATATAAGTTGATAGATATGTTCATGAGTTTGATTTTATCACTTCACAATATATACATATTTCAAAACATTGTATTGTACACCATAAACATGTAGAATTTTTATTTCAACTTAGCCTTAATAAAACTGTTTTAAAAAAAGGAAAATCAAGGAAATGAAAAGGTTGTTAAACTAGAGGCTTGTGACTGTGAATACATCAGAACAGGAAATTTCCCCAGGGGCTTATGCAGAATATTGTGGAACCAGATGGAAGCCTTTATGAAAAGAGACCTCATGGGGGAGGTATATTATATGGCCACTGCTCACCAGCCCATATTTCCCCCTGATAAAGGCAGCTGTGACTCAGGAATTGCACTTTTTTGTTCTGGAAGCTTCTTCGCTGTAAAGAAGTGCATCACTGCCCCTTGTACACAAGTGCTTTTCAAGTAGCTACCCGCTCTTATATACGTAGCACTGACCATTGAAGGGAGGCTCTGAGCCTGGGAAGGTAAGACCTCACATAAATCAAAGCAGCAAGAGCCAGCAGCAGCCTATATTTTGAATAAGCCATTTGAAAATCTGTTTCAAAATGTATGGTAGAGGAATGGCTGTCAAACTTGAGGTGTATCAGAATCACCTAGAGGGCTTGTCTCAGCTCTAGTTGCTGGGTCCCACCCCTAGCGGTTCTGATTCACAGGGTCTGGAATTTCATTTCTGAGATGTTCCCCGGGGATGCTGATGCAAGTCTATAGAACAAGCCTTGAGCACCACTGTTTGTGGGAGAGGGGTACAAATAGGAATTTGCATGGAAAAAACCTTGGGTTCAATCCTTGCATAATTTACTTCACCTCAAATTCCTGAAAAAAGATAGAAGTGGTTCACTAATTTGTAGGTCATCTTTCTGCAGGGAACAGGCTAATTTTCTGTGTCATTCCAATTTTATGTATGTGTGTACATAAGTATATGTATATCTTGCCCAAAGCAAGGACTGTAGGAACATTTTGCAGTCTCCTGATAACATGTAGCAAAATTCCCTTCAGCAAGTGTGTACCCATTTCCATTTCCACCCAGCAATGTTATGTCTATTTTCTCACAACTGTGCTGACACTTAAAAAAAGATACATTGCCAATGGCATCAAAGATGGCAGTTGATTGTTTTGTTTCTCTTCATCCTTTCCTGCCTGAATTATAGCTGTTCCGTAGGAATCTTCCATTCACCCTCTTTCCTTCACATACACTTACTGTGGGCAGTTACAACCATTGCCTCAGCCTTGACTGCCTCATTGCTGTGGATAGCGATCACATGTCCATACCCTGCCCTAATCTGTTTCTAGCACTGCAGCCCAGATGTCCAGCTACTCCCTGCACATATCTATCTGCACAATTTGCTGCACACAAAACTCATCTCTAAAATGAAACTAAGCTAGTGATAGTACCACTTTCCTGGGTGCTTCTCAGTTATCTGCTCTCCTCCATATCTAATTAGCATCCCAATCCTGTTTTTTTTTTTTTTTTTTTTTTTTTTTTTGACAGGCAGAGTGGACAGTGAGAGAGAGAGAGACAGAGAGAAAGGTCTTCCTTTTGCCGTTGGTTCACCCTCCAATGGCCGCCGCGGCCGGCGTGCTGCGGCCGGCGCACCGCGCTGATCCGATGGCAGGAGCCAGGAGCCAGGTGCTTTTCCTGGTCTCCCATGGGGTGCAGGGCCCAAGCACCTGGGCCATCCTCCACTGCACTCCCTGGCCACAGCAGAGGGCTGGCCTGGAAGAGGGGCAACCGGGACAGAATCCGGCGCCCCTACCGGGACTAGAACCCGGTGTGCCGGCGCCGCTAGGCGGAGGATTAGCCTAGTGAGCCGCGGCGCCAGCCCCAATCCTGTTATTTTTCTCTCACCCCCTTCCTTTCTGCCACATCCCCACTGCTGTTACTCTAGCTTGACCATTTATATGAGGATACATTAAAACAATTGTGGTATATATCAACAATGGAATATTATTCAGCCATAAAAAAGAATGGAATCCTGACATTTGCAGCAAACTGGATGGAACTGGAGATCACGATTTGAAGTGATATAAGCCAGACACAGAAAGACAAATACCACACATGTTCTCTCTCATGTGGAAGTTTGATAAATATTCGGTCTGAACTTAGAATAGTGAAGAGTAGAGGCTAGGAGAGGTGGGAGGAAGGGATATAGAGGGAGGTTGAATAACAGGTCCTAAAACCCAGTCAGATAGAAGCAATGAGTCTGGTGTTCCACAGCACAATGGGGTGACTGTGGTTCCCAATGATGTCTGATATATTATGTGAAGAGCTGGAAGAGAGGAGCTGATAGGCACCAGACACAAAGAAGAGATAAGGGAATGGAAAGGCTAGGGGCCTGGCTTGATCAGCTTACACTGTGTATATGTGTACACTGTGTATATGTGTTGAAATTTTGCGCTGTATTATATGTTGATCAATGGTTTTGGGAGAAAAAATCTGAAATTAAAAACCTTCATTAGAATTGGAATTATAAGTTTATTTTGGTGTAAAAGTTTTGAAATCCATGCATAGATTTTTTTGTAATACACACTTTCACAAACTTTTTGAGGTACCATCAGTGTCTGTTGCACTAGCTTATGCATCCTTCAATGCTTCAGTTTTTCTCTGCATAATTGAGCTTACATATTGCTTCTACCATATTGCTCTAGTGCTCTGGAACACCTAGGGCCTCTCTCTGGCCTGTTGGACTCCGTAAAGTCAATGCTTTCACCTAAGGCTTAAGGCCCAGCATGCCCTTGAATCATCCTAGTTTTACTTCATATATGCCTTATAGAAACTGTGCTTTCTTCCTTCATTGCATTTGTGCCTTTCTGACTTTCGTTCACGTAAAGTTGGAAGGCCCTCTCTTCTAGTCTTCTCCAGCTGAAATTGGACTGTCTTTCTTTTGGCCGGCGCCGCGGCTCACTAGGCTAATCCTCCGCCTAGCGGCGCCGGCACACAGGGTTCTAGTCCCGGTCGGAGCGCCGGATTCTGTCCCGGTTGCCCCCCTTCCAGGCCAGCTCTCTGCTATGGCCCAGGAGTGCAGTGGAGGATGGCCCAAGTGCTTGGGCCCTGCACCCGCATGGGAGACCAGGAGAAGTACCTGGCTCCTGCCTTCGGATCAGTACGGTGCACCGGCCACAGCGCGCTGGCCACAGCGGCCATTGGAGGGTGAACCAACGGCAAAAGGAAGACCTTTCTCTCTGTCTCTCTCTCTCACTGTCCACTCTGCCTGTCAAAAAAAAGAAATTGTACTGTCTTTCAAAATTCACTCAGAGGCTCCGTGAAGCCTTCCCTTATTCCACCAGCTGTGCTCTCTCTTTTCTTGAAAAATATTTATTTGAAAGGTAGAGCAACAGAGAGAGGAGGGGACACACACACACACATACTGAGAGAGAAAGAGAGAGAGAGAGAGAGAGAGAGAGAGAGAATAACTTCCATCTGCTGGTTCACTCCCCAAAATGGATGCAACATCCAGGGCTGGGCAAAGCTGAAGCCAGGTGCCAGGAATTCATTCTGGGTCTCCTATGTGGGGGCAGGGGCTCAAGCATTTGAGCCATCTTCTATTGCTTTCCTCGGCACATTAGCAGGGAGCTGCTTGGGAAATGGAGCAGCCGGGACTTGAACCAGTGCTCTAATGTGGGATGCCAGCAGCAGCTTAACCCACTGTGCCACAATGCCAGCCCCCGTACTCCTTAACTCTCATTCTGTTACCATTTGCTTTCTGATGATTAAGACATTTTGTCCCATTTAGTGGTTATCTAAGGTTTTTTTTTCTTGTACTGTGAAGCACACTGTAAATTCCTTGAGCACAGGGATTATATCCTCATTTTGGCGTGTTCTATAGTATCTCTTCAAGTGCCTTAAATGTAGATAGAAACTCCATAAATGCTTGGATAAAAAAATGGTGAAGACTGCCAATGGATTTTTTTTAGAGCTACTGATGACTCAGTTTCAGGAATGAATGCTGTGCTAAGAAGGTATAGATGCCAAATGACCCACGTGTCATGGCTTATTCTCTTCTCCTTATTTTTCACATTCAGTTCATCAGCAAATGCTGTTAGCTCTCTCTCTTCCATATACCTCTAATTAAACCTCTTTTCCCTATCCCTACTGCTACCTCCTTAGAACAAACCACCCTTATGTCTTTCCTACAAGAGCCTTTTTAACTGATTCTCTGGCTTCTATTCTTGTCCTTCCCCAATCCATCAACCAAGGGAGATCTTTATAAAACTTAAATCATGTTAGTCCCCTGCTTAACAAGTTGCTTCCTATTGAACTGAGAATAAAATTCAAACTGCTTACCTTGGCTTTGGAAAATTTCTTGATCTGCCTGTGCACTTGCCCAACCATGTCTCCCACCACTGTACACCTTTGCTCCCATCACACCAGCTTTGCCGAGTGTTGGCCTCTCCTCCTTGTCAGGTTTGCCCAAAGCAGAATGTATAGATGCTGTTATTTCCATTAGGGCCATCTCTGTTGGCTGTTTTCTTAGGGCTCCATGCTTTGAGTAACATAGATGACTTGGGGAGTGGCCAGAAGTAGTTCTGACGGTGTGAGACTTGCCTCTGGGGAAAACTTTTGTGCGGTCCATCAGACCCCTGAAAAGTGGCACGTCCAATATGGAATTTAAGCTGAAGGAGATAATAGACTTATAGGAGGAAGAAAGGAAACCTTGTATTATTCCTGCAGCCTCCTTCCCAAGGGATGCTATAAATATTACTGATAGAAACCAGAGCTGAGGACAAACATCCTCTGCTTTCTTTATCATTTTGGGTGTTGGCTTAGGAAATTGGGCATCATGGCAAAAGCTTTAGGGCCATCTGTTGAGTCAGATGGTGCTCTGTGAACTTGCTGTCCTTTTCCAGTATGTTCCTCTGAAGTCTTCTTCAGCCCTCTGGTGTTGCATCTTCAGCTTTTGTACATACAGGCGAGAGCAAAAAGTGCCATTTTTGTTATTCGGATTCTTGACTTGCTCCCCTTATGCCTAGAAGCTGTAGAATATGCACCATCCACCTCCTTATCTTTAGTGTCTCAACAAGAGACACTCTGATAGGGTATGTTTTATGGGTATATGTAGAAAAAACTAGGAATTACTCCCTAGTTAACTTTGAAAGAGAATTCGGAGTACTGCATTACCTGGCCCCTGTTATTTGCAAAGCTCTTGCAAGTCATCTATATAGTTACTCCTTTCCAACCTCCTTTGGAAAAACAAATGTCTCCATGTTTTAAAGATTCCAGTGTGGAAATGGAGAAATGGAAACAGAGGGCAAATTTAATGACCTAGCCCTACCTTTAAAAAAAAAAAAAGCACTCCTACAATGCAGCACTTGGGGGACTCCTTATTTCCACCCTAGTATTCTCTCCCTTCTTAGTCTGTACCTTAAGTACCTTGAGCTTCCATTTTTTTAAAAAAAAATATTTATTTGTGGGGAGCAACTCGGACTAGACTGTTACTGGAATTAAGACTTATTCTATGCATCTGCTCTCCCACAATATGGCGCTGGGAGAGGAGGAAACAGCTTCTACACAGCTGCCTCCAGTTCAGCCACTAAACTGTAGGACTTGCTCCTGATTGGAGGAGAGCAGCGTACTCGGCGTGTGGGCAGCCGAGTTGGGATTGGCAGAGGAGGACTATAAAGGAGGAGAGAGACAACATGCACCAGGAACATCTAAGGGGAACATCTGAGGGAACACCTGTGCAGCCCCCGAGAGAGCCGGCATGCGGTGTGCCGCTCCCCCGCGGAAGTGGGGAATGTGGCAGGGGGAACCGCCCTTCCACGGAGGTGGAAGGGACGGTAGCCAACCCGGGAAGAACCAGCAGCAAACCCGGGGAGGGCCGAGCAGACGAAAGAACAGCGCAGGGTCCTGTGTCGTTCCTCCATGAAGACGGGGAGCGACATAATGGTGCCGTGACTCAGATAGGAAACTTAGGAGGGAAGAA